TATAAGCTCTACTTCTGTATGGAGCACTGTCTTCTTAAAAATAAAGACAAAAATACTAAGGAACCCCGGATTATGCACCCAACGTGTTCTTTTCTATTTTCTGCATACCTATGCACTTATATATATATATATATATATATATATATATATATATATATATATATATATATATTAAGTATAAATCTTTATTTGAAATATTTTTCATGCAGGCACTTCAAACTTTGTACTTTGAGTTAACATTAATAGGAACTGAAAAACGTATTTAGGTAAGAAAATCAGGTACTGAAAATTGTAATTAAAAATAGGAAAATTTGCGCTGGGTACTATATACCCATGGTTAGTGTTCTAGGGTTAAGAAAATAAAATGAAATCGGGATTATCCAACGTACTCTACAGTTTCTTAATGTTTAATTTCTTAAATCCGTAGAGTAGCAAACATGAAAGAGGCCGCATCAAACTCATCTTTCGTTTGAGTTTAGTATTTATAGTGAAAGATGTCTTTAAAAGGAATCACCCGTAGTTGGTATCATCGAGTCAATACGAACGATCATTATCGTAACTGCATGTTATGTGCTTCGCCATGGCTACATACTTTAAAGATAGCTGAAATCGGCAAGGTTTTTATTTCCAGTAAACTTTTTAGCTAACAAGGTTGACGTGTACCTCGTAACATAACACGGACTCGATCTATAATTTGTTCTAGCATTTACCTAACTTGGTTCAGTAAAAAATCCAGAGTCGGTTCGTTGTTATTCATATGATCCACAAATGGTTCCTTAAATCCGATATTCCTTAAATCCGATATTCCTTAAATCGACGTTCGTTAAATCGTGTTTCGACGCGCCGCTATATTTTTCAATATCTCCATTTTTATTCCATAATAGCGTTCACCTAGCGCCGGTTGTTTCCGAAAAGTTCTCGGGCAAACCAAGACCTTAAAAAGGATATTTGTTCATTCGGCCAAATTTTGGGAAGTAGGACAGGCCGAGAACATTTCAGCATCACCTAGTAACAATAGTTCAAGTCAAGGATCAATCGTTATCTATCCTCCTTATCCTCATAACCTCCACTTCTTTCCACCTTTATTTCCCTTTATATTACACAACTGATTACGTATTAGAATTTAAAATGTAATCCGCTACCTTGAGTGGCTCTCGAGCTTTGTATTGGATGAAGTTGAATTAAATAAAAGATGCTCCGCTCCTTGAAGATTCGACTCTGTGAGATGAAAAGACACGCCATTCTCGTTGCTTTAGCCGCCAACTAATACAGATCCGAAGACTGCGCCCTTTTTAAATGTCGCCGGGTTTTTCGCCTTTTAGATGGGGAAAGAGCTCCGGAACTTTGGCAAGGATGTTGCCTCTAGTGTCCAGAGGATAAAAGGAACATTCTTGACAGTCAGGCATTGTCAGGGACGCCGATTTCGTTCATCAATTTCAGGGTGTCATCGACAAGAACCCCAGAAAATCAATAGGATTCATTACCAACCAGATTCTGTACTTTTATTGATCTCGATCCTTAATAATGACTTTTTTTTTTCTTATTCTTTCGCACGCAGTCGTCTCAGTGGCTTTGTTTCGTGGCTGAAATTGAATTTTCGCAGAGGCCGTATATGGGTGTCGTGGCCTATGTAAAAACCAGTTCAATTCATCCAGTTCTTACCTAGTTGAAAGCTAGTCGGAATACAGTCTTGATAAATGCTAGAACAAATTATACATCGACAATGTTTGATCCCTGACAATGTTTGATCCCTGACAATGTTTGACCCCTGACAATGTTTGATCCCTGACAATGTTTGATCCATGACAATGTTTGAGCACTTAAATGGATGCCAAACTTTTGTGATGAAACCCAAAATTCAAAATAAGTCTTAAAACAAATTTAAATTACGGATTTTTTTTTTAATGTCATATCCTTCAGGACATTGGCAAATAGGGCTCTCGTTTTTCTTTATTCCGGGTATATTGCCATGAATCCTTGCGAACAATAGTGGCGTTGTTTCTCGTTGCCTTTTCAACCGTTATCGATTCGGAATTGTTTTTCTAGATTGACTACTACTCGATGTTACAACCCATGGCAGGCGGGGAGGAAAGAGATTGAGGCCATTCCTAAATGAGAGTGGTGCAAAAGTGAATGCAATAGACTAGACCGAAATTTGAAATCGGATCGATGAGCACTAATTTCTGGCCCTATAACTCTTACATCAATCCCACCCGAGATAAGAAATAAATCCCAAAGTTTGTTTAGAAATTCACGACAAATAAAGGCTGGGCCTAATTTTCTCCTCCGAAGGTAAACATTTTGGCCGAAAAAAAATTTCATTATAGAGTTTTTTTTTTTTTTTTTTTAAATATGCTTCCTTAAAATAAATTTCCTTGCATTTCGTTTTCTTTTCTGGTGTGAGTGTGGGTTGGGGTGGGGGGATTGTCTGCCTCTTGAATTACTTACGTAAAAAAAATGTTAAAAGGAATTTTGAAGTGAAAAGACCTATTAAAAGTTAATAGCATATTTCTGCACCGAGTGTAAACAGGTGGCTCATACATGACTTGCTTAAAGCCGACCGATGCCGGATGCCCAAAATAATGCCCCCCCATGGCCCTCCCCTGTTAGCGACCAAGACGGCAGTAACTAATTTAGTTACGCAATATAAACACATCGTTAAAAATAACAAAAAAAAAAAACAACTCCTTCATGTTATGACTAAGGAAAAAAAAAAAAAGCAAATTTAATAAATGATAACTTTGGGAACTAACTGGTTAATAGGCAGTATGTTAGACGTAATAAAAAAAAAAAAAAAAGCAAGGGGCACCCAGTGAGAATCGAACTCAGAAAGCGGTCATAATAGTTCTAGCGGGGGAAGATGGCTAACCATTACACCGCATTGAGATACCCTACTAAGTATTGAATAAGTAGCAAGTAGATGAACGGAGGTAATTACCAGCGTTCAAGATCATTCCCCCCCCCTAAAAAAAAAACAAAAAGAATAGTATTTTCCAATTGGTGATCTTTCTTTTAAAAGGACTAAAAATTTATAGATTGTTTCGCTTTCTACGGTTTATGGAGCCTTTGCAGGTTATTTAAAGTCAAAAGATAGTTTTGAGCTTGTAAGAATATTTTTCGAGATAATAATGGTTTTGTAATACAAGTCTTATTATTTAACCCATAGCTGGAGGGAGAAGTGGTTGAGTCATACAAAATGCCTAAAAAGGAACATTTTAATATTTCTTCTTCTATGTGTCGTGTCTCTTCAGGACATGTACGATTGTGGTTCTCCACGACTTCCTATCTTTTGTAGCTCTTATCAAATCACTATCCTCCCAGTTCTGCCTATCATTCTCATAAGCACATTACGTAGATGCCCATCTTGCATTTTTACCCCAAGCAAGACGGGGCTTACGGCCATTCTTCTTCATGCGTTGTTTCCCTTCAGGTGTAGACGATCATGTCTCTCCACAGCTTCCTGTCCCTGCTCTTAATAAATTTTGTTTTTCTGTTATGTCTCCTAAAACCTATTCCGCCATCCATTTACCATATGCACTGTTTTTCTTTGTCTGTCTTGTGAGTATCAGATTTTCCACGCCCTATTTCCTTGTTATGTACCCTAGAAACTCCAACTGTCTCTTCCTTTTTCGATGGATTTGCACCAAAATTTGCATGCACATGCTCCAAGTTAGCGGGAAAGCCAAAACCGACTTTGCATTTCCCAATTTCCATCGATGGTGGAAATAATCGATTTTTTCATGCTTCTACGGCAGTTTTCATGCAGTTTGCGGCCATTTTGTACTGGCCAGAGTGAGAGCCTATAGCTGGCTGCCACGAATAGGCAGGAAGATTCTATTGGCCAGCGTAAGAGCCAACAGCTGACTGACACGAATGTTAACTAGCATGCTAGCATGCAAAAAAAATCGATAGCTGCAATCGTCACAAGTGGGAAAAATTTAAATCTGCATGGCACTTGACTCCAATTGGCTCATTAGCTTGCTTAAACTCAACGTTGATTCTGATTCCGCAGAACTGGATTGGGTGTGAAAAAGTATTTGTTGTTAACATTCTTTTTTCATTCGGTTTTTCCAGTTACGAGTCCTTTTTTAAAGCTGATCGTTTTGTGTTCATTTTGTTTAGTTCTTTTTTCATAACAGATTTAATGTTTAGTATAGAGCTTAGAAAAAATTTGCAGTGTGAGGTAGGCAAGAAGTAAGGCATGTAGCAACATCAGCACGGAAAAGGGCACTCCTTTAAAGGAAAGGAAGGGCAAAAATATTTTAAGTCAAATGATAGCGATTGCTGTATGAGTCGTACGATTTTTGAATCAAGCACGGGCAACGCTGAGCCATGCTGCTAGTGTCTCCTAAAACCTGTTCCGCCATCCATTTACTCAAGCTCACTAAATATGATATGCGTTGTTTTCCTTTGTCTCGTTTGCCTTCAGTCTGTCTTGTGAGTATCAGATTTTCCATGTCCTCTTTCCTTGTGCCCTAGAAACTCCAACTGCCTGTTCCTTTTCGATTTCTCTAAAACTTCAGCGTTGCTCAGTATCCTTCTATAGAACCACATTTCTTTTGCTTCAGGCCGCTTCTTCATCGTTGAGGGGTTTGTCCAGCACTCATTGCCATACAGGAGGACATATATCACTTAACAGTTTAGTACTTTTTTCTTGTTTCTGGCGAAGTTTTTCTGTTTCTTAATACTTTGCTTAGCTTTTCGAAGGCGTCTTTCGCTATCCCAATGTCCCTTCGGATTTCAGTGTCGCTCTTTCCGAACTCTGTTAAAAAAATTCCCAGATATTTAAATGTTCCGCACTGGTTTGATTTTTATATCTTCGATTTGCCATTCGCATTTTGGGCTTAACCGTTAGCTAACAACCATGCATTCTGTTTTCTTGTAATTGGTGTTTAATCCTTTCTTTTTGCTTGTCATGATTATCTTCTCTAGAGTTTTTGTACTTTTCTTTCTCTGTCTGCTGTCATCTGCATATCTTTTCTTAAGATTGTGGCCGCCATCTTGAAACACCGCTTCCCGTTCGATCACCGAAATTAAGCAACGTCGACGTTGGTCAGTACCTAGATAAGTGACCGCTTGGAAATACCAGATGCTGTAAGGTTGGATGTATGGGTGGTGTAATTGATAACGGCTCGGAATGAGAACTCGGTGAGCCGTGTTGGAATTCCTGTCGAGTTCGTAACATTCAACCAGGTGCAAATACCCTAGGGAATGGTATGAATCCAACTCGCTGCCAGCTTAATCTAATATTCACTTATTATTATTTAAAAAAAAAAATCAATTAATCAAGCAAGGCGATAATGCCACTAAGACGCAATGGGTTAGTTAGAGTGAAAGAAAATCAGAAAGCTTTAGATGCAATCGAAACCCAATCCTAAAAAGGAAAAAAGGATAAACTTCAACTCCTGTTCAAAAGACAGCTGAGTGGTGTGTGTGCGTGGCGGGTGGTGGGGGGTGAATGGTAGGCGGACCTATCTTAATATATCCTGAAAGTGTTAAATTCTACAAGTTCATTTTTCTCATTATCTGCTATAGAAATTTGAGCGACCTCTTTCTGATTCTACGCCGGTTTCCATTTTTCCTTTCCAATTTTTCTTAAAACTTTCTTGTTGCCCACATCTTCTGAACATGGTATTCCCAGCATCTGTCCGTAGGAAATCTTCTGTGTTGCCTCTTCATCTACGAAGCAATTGTTTAGTAATTACTGCCAAAAAAAAATAAATAAATAAAAGACGAGTCTTTAATCGCTATCAACTCTCCTAAGTTGATAGCGATTAAGGACTCGTCTTTTATTTTTATTTTTTTTTTTGTTTCTAATGAAAAAATTCCTGTACTTAATACATTTTAGTTTTTGGAAAACATTTTACGCTATTCCAATGTGCAACTTCCATCGCCCCACAGATTTATTTTTCTCTATTTGCTTGAATAGTTCGTAAATAAAATACGTTAAATAATTTACACATTTTACGCGCCAACCTATTAGGCTTTATCGAAAATAAGATCTGACTTACAATATATCTTAAGAAGAAAAAAGTAATTATGATGACTCATTCTTTATTGATGCCCTTTTCTAATTCCATCTCCACTTTTAGTCTCTTAAGCATGTGCTTAATTCATTTAGTAGTTAATCCAGTTTTAAGCTTAAACACTGGATTAATCCGCTAGCAAATAGTCTCTCACTAATGGACGGACAGATCGATGATATAATTTAGATGTATGCTGGTGATTATTATATATTTCTTTTAAACATATCACGCCAAAGAAGGCATTAAAGCCACTAAGACACAAGGAGTTGCTGACTGTGAAAAAATAAGAAAAAGAGAAACATTATTATTGAGCGAGAACAAGAGAAGTTGAATCAAGAGGACAGTAGATAGCAATTGACATTGCATTTAAATTTTTGAAGATCAAAATTGGCTGGAAAGCATGGTGTCGGAACAGAGTTTGATACACGAGAAGTGCGAGAGAAGGAACTGTTAGCATAGAACTTACGGTTACATCGAGCTAATTCAACTGTAAATTGATCAAACCTTGCTGCAAATCTAGTACTGCGCTTAAATTCATAAAGTCTAGGTATCATAGCAGAAAGTTCATCAGAACAATTATGGAAATATTTATAGAAAAGGCTCAGGGAAGCTACGCTACGGGGTGAATAAAGTTTTCCATTTGTTTATATATATGTCCACAGACAAGCCTGTTTCGCTGTATCACAGCTCATCAGTGTGATAGACATCTTATTGCTTCAAGCCTTGATCGAAACTCGACCGATTTAGCATCTGTCAGAGACTCTACCCCTTAAGATATCTGCGCACGGTAGAGAAAGGGAATTTTTTTAACGTGTTATATATCTTATACATATAAACGTCAAATCATATATATATATATATATATCAAATCATATATATATATATATATATATATATATATATATATATATATTAGTTCTCAAGTAGACATCTACGCAGACGACACTACCATTTACATTTGTCTTAATAATAAATCTGGCCCTTGGTCTCGAAAACGGCCTCCGATCTGTGATAGACTGGGGTAAGAAATGGCATGTGAATTTTTAATGCATCCGAAACGAAATTGCTGTCATTTACTCACCATAGAGAAAATTCCTACCAGCATGGTTGATGCTCAACTCCACAATAGCACCTCAAAACGCCTTGTTGGCCTCAGGTTCTCCACTGACCTGAGGTGGAACAACTACAAGGAATCAATAGCTTTTTCTCGTTTGAATCAATCGTTCACACGGACAAATCTACCATTCCTCCATGAATGAATATTGTTGCCATATATGGACTAGTGCGCCCGTTGTTCATCCCGAGGTTCTCGACAAAATCCAAAGACGGATATGCAATGTGATCGGTCCTGACGTGGGGTCTCGACTCCAGTCACTTTCTCACCGGCGTAATGTGGCTTCCTTCTGTCTTCTATAAATATTTTCATAGAATCTGCACTGACGAGCTATTTTTATTGGTGCCTCGTCTGCATGAATTTAAGCTTGCTACTAGGTTGGCATCTTGGTCCCACTGTTTCACTGTCGAAACAATTAAATGTAACTGCCTCTTTTACTCCAACAACTTCTTCTCTCACACTTCCCGACAGTGGAATTCCCTTCCTGTTACTTGCTTCCCTGATAATTATAATCTTCGAAAATTTAAATTTAAATCGACATCTTCTGTTGCCCTGATTCCCGTTCTTCTTTTTATACTTACCTCAACCCCCCTACACAACAGTCTTTTCCCTTACTTGTACTTTCTCTAACCCCTTGCGCACTAGTGGCACTCCCGCCTTGCTTGGGGTGAAATGCTTAAATATATAAACAGGCTGTTTCACTCTATTTGGCATCAGTCAGAGATCGTACCCCTAAGCCGTCTGCACACGGCAGAGAGAAAGGGAAATTTTAGCGTTTTCTATAGGAAATACGCTAGCGGCTAAGAGAACTCAATTCGTACATGAAGGGTAATGCATTCATAGCAGCAGCAGCCACAGTTTTTTTATTAAATTTACCCTTTTCTCTAGAGAATTCTGTCGAAGGGCCTCTAAGGTTTTTTTAAATGCTTGGAGGAAAACGAGTTTTTATTCAGCGTTTTTCTATTCGAACGAGCAGGCGCATCTTGGCTTTTATATTCACAACATTTCACTCATTGTACACTTTCGTCTTCTTCAGGATTCTGTCTTACATGCTTTGCTACTTCTACCAATATGCTAATCTAGATGGTTACATTCACAATATTCCGGTCGTTGGACCCTCTTTCTTAGGTGTCTGTCATATAGAGGATGTTCTTAAATTCACTATACACTTTTAATAAATTCCTAAAAATTACACAAGGAACTGAATTTATATATATTTTTAGCATCATCGTCATTGCACTTTTGCTTGCTCGCCTTTTCATCACATTCCAACGCCTTGAATATTTGCAGTATACCTCCACATTAGCGTCTCCATTTTCGACAACCTTCACTCACCTTCGGGCGCTGGACTCACCGACGAAGCATCTCTTCCCCAACCTCACTGCAGGCTATGCAGATTACCTTATTTGACAGCACGGGTGTATAAAAAGCACCCCAATTTCAGCAAAGTAAATCAAGAATAAATTAGTAAAATTATTAGTAAATGATACAGCCTAGGTTATATTTATGGGATATTATTTTGATTAAACAAGCCAGGATTACAATTGTTAAACGAAAAATAATAGGAAAAAAAGAACACGAGCCTATAAAAATTTCACCCATTCGCAGACTTGTGCAATGCTGGATCTTTTTATTCTTCCTGTAAGTGTAAGGTCAGGCATTGCCATCCATATGTTCCATTGCTCCTTCATGTTTAAATCTAAGGTAATAGGAGTTGCCAGGTAACTAATTTTGGCTATCACAAATTTTAAACTTACATATGGCATATAAAACTCAGGGGAATTTTATAAGATATTTTTATTAAAAAAAAGTGCGCCTTATATGCCGTCAAATACGGTAATACCTCAAGCCGTAGCAGGGCAAATCAAGAAAAGATTAGTAATTAGTAAAATTAGTAGTAAATGGTACAGCCTAGGCTATATTTATGAGGTATTATTTTGATTAAACAAGCCATGACTACAATTATTAAACGAAAAATAATAGGAAAAAAGAATAGGAGCCTTTTAAAAACTTTATTATATTCAAAGGTAATAAAACAAAAATATATATATATATATATATATATATATATATATATATATATATATATATATATATATATATATATATATAATTCGTCGTTTTTGCTATCAAAATTCTGATACTCATTTTCAGTACTACTATCATCGTCATTAAATAATGCGCCATCTTCCGTTCCATTGAGAGCATTGCTAATGCCACAATTTTTCAAAGATTTCACAACAATTTCTGGTTTAATATTATTCCAAACTTGCTTCACCTATTCGCAGACTTGTGCAATGCTGGGTCTTTTTATTCTTCTTGTAAGTGTAATGTCGTGACCAGACATTGCCATCCACATGTTCCATTGCTCCTTCATGTTTAAGTCTAAGCTAATAGGAGTTTCGTCTGGGTATCGAGAATTTTAAACGTACATATGGCATATAAGACGCAGGGGAATTTTAAAAGATATTTTTAGTAAAAAAAGGTGCGCCTTATATGCTGTCAAATACGGCAATTCCTCAAGACATAGCAGGTCACGGGGCTTAGTTGCATACACCTTGCTATTGATATAGACCTCAAAGGAAAAAAAGTTACAAGGTATGAGGTTTGTGGAGCGTTGAGTTCATTCAAGATAACTCATTCCGCTGATGTTCAGGAATTCCCTCACTAATCTGGGAAAGTGGGGAGAATTTCCGTCTTTTTGGAAACAAGCATTAGCAAAGTCACTCCTCACCTGAAGTTGTAGCACAGCAAATTCCTGCGGCATATTCAGGTAATATTCTCCGGTTACCGGATAGCATCACGGAAGGAAAATGATCCAATCAGCCTAGTGCTAGACATGGCACACCAAACCACCATGTTCGGAGAGTCTCGTTCAATGTTCGAGAATTCAACAATTGTCTCGGTTTATTTGACCAGAGAGATAAAAGATAGACTCGCTGGAACATAAGACTTCCAA